CTCTCTCTTCACACCCGACAACCTACAAATCAATCCTTCGACCAGTCATTTCCATTCTCTGTGCCACCTGAGAGCCTGTTCCACACTCTCTTCTACGCTCAATCACGAGGGGCACCCTTCATTTACTGCTCACCTCTCTTTCCTAATCCACTAGACAACAGGATGCATAGCTTACATGGAATCCAATCCACATACCCAAGAACCTTGCCCAGGTTCATGCAACTGAGATATCATTTACAAGTCTACATTCACATGTCCTAGACTAGAGAGGCATCCACCCCCCCCCCCCCCCCCCCCCCCCCCCCCCCCCAATACTTTCCTTTAATCGCAGATCAACAGACTACAAAGCCAACATTAGTAAGAAAATTTGTCAATTTGCTACTACCAGTCGAAGGGATGCCTTCATCCAGCGAAACACCATTAAGCATCATCCTGCTCTCCTTCTCCCTCCCTCCGGTTGCTCCCAGTCATGGCTGTGACGGATTGTTTTGTCCTTCTGTCATTGTCCGTATTCCGCTGCCCTCATGCGGAACTTGAACCTGGGCAGTTCCACACAGATGGATCCTCATTTGCATTCCCCCCCACCAACACACACCCCTTTCAAAAATGACACCCACCTTACTACTGCTTTGCACTGTTGTGTGCTGGCCAGTTCCAACCCTTGCCCTCCTCTGAGCACGTAAATTGCCATGCCTACCGAATATCAATCAACGAAAAAAAGAAAGTTGAAGGCATGGCCGTGGGTCAATGGCATACAACTTGGACATAAGTTCGCACATGGATATAACCTGTCCAGGAGTGGTCAACTGATGACGCCTTAAGTCACACAGAACTTAGTCAATGAGTGAGCACTCTGCTCCAGAGAGCAACCTCGATCATCAATGTGACTGGCCGAGTCCATCAGATCACCTCTACTGAGGGCGTACTCAAAGTAGCTCTATCTTAAATATATCTAACAGCAGCTACAGCAGACCTGGTTCTATCCGACCGCAATTACATCCAGAAATAAGTTTAAAAGTCTTAGACTAAGTATGGCCTGAATGCACTCTCCCTGGCCCAGCAATCCTACCAAACAGACAGCTTGGTCTGACCTCATAGGCAATTACATCCAGAAACAAGTAAAACAGTCCTAGAGTTAGTATGGCCTGAGTGAACTCTCTCCGGCCCAGCAATCCTACCAAACGAACAGCTTGGTCTGAACTCGTAACCGTACCGCAGCCGGGCCAAGGGACTGCCCAATAATGTGTAGCAACACACATTATTTCCCAGATAATAACTATTTTACCAGTCCTGCCACTGACGTGCGTGCCAACACACATCATTATCTACACAATATCTCCGTCAGAGGTTGCGTGAATACACAGCCAGCGCTTATCAGAACTTAGATCCCTTCCCCAATTTAATCAATTAAACTACATTGTCGCGCCTATTGCTAGGCTGCTGCTGTGAGTAAAGGTAGGACTCCGTAGGAGGCTCACAAGAGCGTTTTCCTTCTGCCTGGACACCTCGAGTGACTACATAGAGGTGCCATCTATCGTTCCCCCAGCGCCACATTCGTGGGAGCCTGTCGTCAAAGAGAACTGCCTGGTAAACCACAAGCAGAAAGGACAACAAATGAGGGGCTTGACAGACTTCCATTAGAGTTTCGCAGACTCATCAGGAGGCACTTCAAGGTTGTTGTCAGTAAGGGTGGTGGTAGTGAGTGTGTGGCGAGAAGAATTGGACAGAGGGTGACTCACTCCTGACTAGGGTGGTACAGGAGTGGTTGGCGATTGGAGTTCAGAGGCCTGAGAGGCTCTGGGAGGCTATTTTTAGCCTGTCGATTCATCTGGAGGCTGGTGATTGGCAAGGAAGCGATCCCAGGAGGTTGCGATTTTGGAATTGGGTCAGAATCCCCAATTTCCAAGCAGTGCAGTACAGGGTGATGTATCGCTGCACTGAGGTTGTCAGTTATTGGCACCTGGGAGTCCGAATTCTTTGAATCTGTCAGTCGGAGGAGAAGTGCCTCAGGGTAATCTATTGGATCACCAAGTTTCAGGCAATTTGGTGCGTGGGAACACTGGAGACTGTCAGGAGATGAAACTGGCGGGTTGGGGTTGACCAGTCAGCGATAGCCAGGGTTTCATGCATCTTCTTCAGAGTTGACCCTGAAGTAAGTGTGTTCCTTACTCCATCCTGTGGCGATTATGGGACTATTTTTACAACAGTGAAATTTGGTCTGTCTGTCAGGTGACAGTTGAAAATCAAAATTCAAACTGTGGGACAGCCATATCCAACTTCCCCTACCTATCTTCTTTGACTTTTATTAACCCTGTCTGACCTTCTTTCTGACTCATATTTCATCTGTGACTACTTTACAGTATTGCGATTGACACTGTGTAGTGAATTGGTGAATTCAGGGTCTTGTTTTCAGTGATAATTCAAATTTTAATTATGCGCTTACATAACTAAAGCTTGGCTAGGCTAGGGTCAGTGATAACTTTGATTCTGTCCGTCAAAATTCAATTCTGTCAGTCCCTGGTAAATTGCACTTCACTACTCAGTCTGTGTCTAAAATCGCACATCCAGATTTTATGTTATGAGTCAGTTACAGTGAAAATTTTAATTCGCCATACCCACGGTATGGCATACAGGGTCATACAATGGTGAAGTTTGTAGGGTAGGTCTAAAAATAGGGTAACCTGTAAATCGCTGCATCTTGGTCATCAATGGACACCTGTCAAACCCTAATTAGTTACTCTGTCTAACTTCTAATCAACACTACTCAGTCCAAGACTGCATCTTGTCAGTTATTGATGCAGGATTTGCAATTATTGCGTGCAATTGCTGGTTCAGGGCAATGATGGGAAAATCGTGAAAGGGATTTTTGTTGAGTGTACTCTAAACAGACCCTGACCCTCAAGCGGTCTGCTGAGACTGAGCACTCACTTGCTCAGACTAACCAACCTTCTCTCTCCAGGCAGGTGGCAACAACTGAGTGAGTACTGCAGAGAAAACTCAATTACTGCTACTTCCTGTTTGTCTCTAATTATTGTTTATTTTTATTTATCTGAATTGTGGGAAATCAAAACGGCAGATCCTGGGAAAGGAGAGGCTTCTGAGGCAAAGCCTCAGATTCCGCTTGACCCTTTAGAGGCTGAACTGCAGGCCCAACAGGAGAAACTCTGGCAGCAGGTCCAGGCAGTCGAGTCCCTAAAGGCTGAGCTGAAGAAGAAAGAAGAAGAAGCTCAGAAAGAAGCCAAGAGAAAGTTGTTGATTGTAGATGTGGAGAAGATCAAGACAAGTGGTACTTCCAGCCAGTACAATAAGGACATGGTTGAGTTCATCCTCTTGCAGGATGATATTCACCGTTCTTATTTTACTAACAAGACGATCGGATTACCAGTCTGGAGAGCAGTCACTCAGCTTTTTTTAAAAGTTGGATGACATCTCTGCCAAACCGGACCAGATATTTACTTATTTGAAGATCCCTACCACCCTGACCTTGCCTCCATCCCCTGGGCCTTCTCAAGCAGGCCCTCAACAACTCCCACAATCCACACCCTCATCCCCATCTTCCACACCCAAGTCAACAACCACTTCACAGCCCTCAGTCTCATTTGATCAGCAGCGGCCCAAGCTGACCCCTCCACCCATGTTCCCTGGCGAGGACCCTAAGGTGGATGCTGCAAATTGGGTCACCACTCAAAGAACCTACCTGAGTGGGTTCAAATGTGACGAGGATGTGAAAATGTCAGCCATCCTTGCTCGTTTGGAGAGGACTGCACTGAAATGGTGCACCTCTACCTCTAGCAAGCAAGGTATGGAGATGTCTGATTGGACGCAGAGGTTGGGGGTGGCTGGATTTCTTTGGGCACTGCAGGACCGGTTTGCAGACAAGGATCAAGCTAGAAAAGCAGCAGACAAAATTCTGCGCCTGGGCCAGAAAAAGTTTGATGGCTCCTTGTCCAAACTGTACTCCACCTTTGAGAGTCTGACATCGACACCTGGGTTGGAGATGAGTGAGCAAAACCTGCTCATTCATTTCCTTAGGGCAGCACCTGAGCAATACCAGCTAGCCTTATTCTCTCAAGGCCACAAGGATTGGCAGTCCTTTGCCAGAGCAGCCCTAGACTTGGGAGTCCAAACTCCATGTCCAGGAAGCACCTTCTGAAGGAAGGAAGGGACCCTCCTCAAAGGGGCGAAGGAGGAGGAAGGGTGCCCTGTTTGCTGCTGCAGGTTCTAGTTGAGATGATGATGCAGCATCCCAGGGTGGGACCCCTCCATCTGGGACTGCTTCCTCATCTACTGCAGATTCTGTTGTTCTTGCCCTGGCTTATGCTTTGATGGGCCTGACTAATGGCAAGGCCTCAGCCCAGAAAGCACCAACCAACAGCAAGGGTAAAGGCAAGGGACGTGCCTCTTCCCCTAGTGCCCAGAGAATACCTCTACCACGAGAAGTCCGTTGGCCAGCTAACCCCCTTGATCCTTCCACCTTCCCCTGGCATG